GGGNGGGGGGGGGTTCATACTAGTACTGGGTTTTGTACAATTGTTAGATAACTCGTTAGTTTACTAGCCATCGTAGGACATACCCTCATTGGAAGACCAGTTTGCCCTACGATGCCCTACATCAAACGATGGTCAGCAAAACAACGCTTTAACAATTTTACAGACAACCGTATCAAAACGCCTTCGGAAGCCTGCACATAGGACAGGAGGCTAATTTGGCCAAGAAATGTTGCAACAACGTGAGATGTAAAATTGTAAATGCGTCCGTAACCGGTGCAATAGCTCAACTGGTAGAGTGCTCGCTTTGTAACCGGGAGGTCGTGAGTTCAAACCCCGACCGGGTCATACCAAAGACTTTAAGAATTATACACACTTCTTTCTAATTCTCTGCTTAGCACTCAGCACATATGAGAAAGAGTGTGGGAAGGTCAAACATACAGCACTACCAGCGGACTAGCCCCCTGCTGTAGTGCATTGCACAATTGTGTGTCGCCCAAGGGCTACGGAATGGAGATGGGCACCACCCTACGCTCGGGTAAGAGCACGGGAGACCTTCTTCTTCTTCTTCGTCCGTAGCCAAATTTTGTTGCTACAGAATCATCTTGCTCGAGTTTGAAAAAAGTTTGACAAGATATATGGGATAAGACTGTTTTGGTAGCACGTAATGTAACGTCAACGTAACCAGTGCTAGTGTATAAGATACACGTAAAAGGGTTTTATCCAGTCTATGCCCTCCAAATAGCTGTGTCCATTAAAAACGTGCATGATACCTCTGTTACCAACATGTTATCTTCATCAAACATCCATTAAATGCTTTCCGTACAATGCGGGTTGCCCCTGACATTTAACCAACATGTAGACTGAGTCATAGACGTCAGTAGAAGCAACAAAAACATGGTACGAGCTAACACTAACGTCATAGCCCTACTTATAATTTTTTTTAATTCATCAAAACATAAAAACATAACAAGGACAATGTGACGCTGCACTCAAGTTAACAACTTATATTAACAGCGCCACACAACAAAAAGGTACAATTAACATTTAAATATACAAATTTGACATATCTGTGCGCCGTATTCCCACCACCCCAAGACATTAAAATGTTAAATTAAATGCTAACAGAGCTATTTGAAAGATAAGATTACATGGTAACCTCCTATATCTCATTGGCGGAAAAACATCCGCCAATCAGAGCTAGGAGGGGAACTTATAATTGATAGATGTGCTAAAATAGAATTTCAAGCGGAACTTTGTATTGACCAACCCGGGGAGGTCTTATTTGAAGGCCGTTATAACTGTCCACAAGACCGGTATATCAGGATCGAGTGTTTGTGACTCCGATACTGTTTCAGACTTAACGGACTCAACGTCTTGTAGTGTTCAGACAGGAACAGACTGGTGAGTCTACTTTTACTCCAATCTATTGTCACTGTAGCTTCTTTTTAGTATCTCGTTTTGATATGCTTCGTGGCAATGATAGGACCGTAGGGCGTAAGATATGTCACCTAATATGTGTATATGTTTTAGGACTTACAATAGGACTTACCATCTGGTGAGTTTACTTTACTCCAGTTTATTGTAACTTCTTTTTATTATATCGTTCTATATAGCTTTCATTGCCATCTACATTTATGGTGGGACCCTCAGAACTTAAGATTTGTTATCTAATCTATAGCTTCTTTGAATTTTCACGTTTTGATTTAGTCATGCCTTTGCTTAAAGCTTAAGATTTGTTACCTAAGTTTACGAATGGCTCGTGACGGTTACTTTTCAGATCTCTTCGTCAACCATGACTCCCTTCCTTCTGCTGTTCGTTGCCTTGGCAACAGCGTCTCCTATGAAGAGGTACGTGCATTTTAATGTCACACTATTAAACATTTTGAGATTTTCATAACTTCGTGAAGGGGGCAGGGGAGGGGTACGTACGATCTACTAACGTACGTCCGAACCGTAGCTGGCCAACCAGTATGACTTTTATATAACCTAGAATCGATGAAAAACAGCGGTAACTAATTTGTGTAAGATGAAGTCTTTATTCATGCATCTCCCTTGCCGTAGCTGCCGACGTTTTGCTGTTTAAGGAACACTTTACCCTCTCTAATGGAGATCGGCTTTATTTATTGGTCTGTTTGTATCAACAACAACATATCTCGCAGTCTTGACATGTACATACAGGGCTGAATTCCGATGTTTGTTTACAACATAAATCATTAATTAACAGTAGGGTAATGCAAATTACAATCATGTCGGCATCTACAGATTGATTGGTTCAACGAATTCAGATATTTACAATAGTGCCTTAAATCACTCAAGTTTTTAACATACGTGTAGAAGAATAGTCATCATAAATGGATAAATCATCAACACACTTAAGATATCTTTACCTGGTTGGAACGTTAGAAAAGTTTTTTCGCCTACAGGCAGACCACCAGCGGCCTGGATGAAAACGGTGACGGGCTGATCTCCAAGGATGAAGTTCTCATCTGCATGTCTCTGCACGAAGCGCTTGTCGCCCTGGACAGGGATGGTAAGCAATCACTAATCTGGACGTCCCAACTACTAAGTACCTAATACCAGCCCAGAAGAGAACAAGAAATAGCCATGCCTTCAAGTACCAGCGTTATCAACCAAGGATTGAGGTGTTCAAGAATTCATTCTTTCCTAGAACTATTACAGAGTGGAACTCACTGTCACCAAGCACAGTAGGGGCATTGCCATTAGATAGCTTTAAACAATGTCTAGAGCTAGATGTCCAAGGGTTAGGTGTAACAAGTCGATCAGTGTAGCCAGCTGCCGCCGCGCCGCGTGCCTGCGAAGCTGGCGTGTTACGCCGAGAGGCGGTTATATGGGCTATACGACATCCAAGGATAATGCATGGCCAATTTGATACTATCCTTTTGCCATTCTAGTATCTGTTTTGAAACTAAGGTCTTAAGACCAATTACAACTTTTATTGTAATCAATTGCTTCGGAAAATGATGAGATGTCACTCTCCGTTTGCAGGCGATGGCTTCATCTACCTGCCTCAGATCATCGAGCTGTGGGGAACCGGAGACAAGTTTTACGAACTGAACACCGACGGAGACGACCACCTCACCTTCAGGGAGATCGAGAACGGAATGACTCTCAGCGACTTCTACGACCAGTTCGACTTCAACGGTAGGAATTTTAACTTTTTTTCCGTTTACCTATATCTGTGGTTGATTGTCTTCATCTGCTTTAGAAGACGTACAGCCATTATTTGTAGTCCTGACAATTCTATACTTGGCTTTGCTACATGTAAATGCAATGAAAATACGAATAATGCGAGGCTTCAGCTAGCTGTCTACTGGTTAAGCTTTTTAGATTTTTGTAATTTCAGGTCGTGAATTGGAATTTTCTATCGTAGTTTAGAGACTAAGAGACTAGGTATGAGACTAAGTATAAATTGCTCTTCGTTTAAGTCTATAAAAGCCAGTTACAAATAGTTACGGTTATAATTTCTTGCTAGTATTTTAAGAAAATCTAATACAAATAGAAAAGTGCGACATTTCTACATCCTCTGTCAACAGGTGATGGTACTCTGGACGCAGCAGAGGCGTACCAGCTAAACTACATCTGGGACGTCCTCTACAACCCTGCAGTTAACGACCCGCTAGACTCTAACGGAGACGGGAGACTCTCCAGGCTGGAAATCACGAGCCACATGACCTACAACGAGGTTCTGAGAGCCTTGGACGCCGACGGTAAGGCATACTCATTATCAATCAATACTACAATAGTTTGTGCTTATAAACCTGCATTATTTCTCCTCTGGTCTCTCAGTCACTGATGAAAGCTAGTGGATACTAGCTGAAACGTCTGACCGTTTCCAAAATCATATCCAGTTGCTTGAGTAACTGCTTTTTGGCATACTCATTATCTTTACTTACTTTACATTATCCGTCCACTTCGTTGAGTGAGCTATGAATTCGTTCATCGCCCAAAACGTTGCTGACATTTGAGTTTTGGTCGCGCAGAGAGGTCGCCGTAGAGGTTCCACTTGATCACGTTTTTGTGGAGTTTGGCGCTCTCTCCGCGCTCTGGCCAATTTCAGGTCGCCGTGAGAGCGCCACTAACTGGAATACAGACGTAGAATGTCCATGATGTACAAAATTACTAATTAACCGGTGGACGTAACAACCACTGATACCGTATCTGATACCGGCCCAGAAAAGAACAAGAAACAGTCATGCCTTCAAATATCAGAGTTATCAACCAAGAATTTAGGTATTCAATAACTCGTATATCTCCAGAACTATCGTAGACTGGAATTCATCACTGGAAAGCTTTAAACAACTCCTGCAATCAAATGTGCAAATATTAAGTGTAACAAGTCGTTCGGTGTGGTATAGCTAGCTGCCGCCGCGCCGCGTGCCTGCGAAGCTGGTGTGTTACGCCGAAGGGCGGTTATACCGGCTGTGCAGATTCAGATACAGAATGGGGGCCTAAAGACGCATTTTGTTCCTGCAGGCGACCAACGGCTGAGCGCGGCTGAGGTGAATGTACTGATGGGCTCCCAGACTGCCCAGTGGATGGACGATCAGGACAACAACGACGACGGTTTCGTCAACGGCGAGGAGGCGCACAGCCACCGTATGAATCTCGGCAGGATCTTCAGCAGACTCGACTTGGACGGTAAGTACAGTACCATTTCAAGAACCGTGCCTATATCTAGATCTATGACTAATAAACTGGTGGACGTACCAACCACATAAGTATCTGATACCAGCCCAGAAAAGAACAAGAAACAGTCATGCCTTCAATATCAGAGTTATCAACCAAGAATTGAGGTATTCAAAAACTCGTATTTCCCCAGAACTATCGTAGACTGGAACTCGTTGCCACCAAGCACAGTTGGGGCATCATCACTAGAAAGCTTTCAACAACTCCTGCAATCAAATGTGCAAAGATTGGGTGTAACAAGCCGTTCGGTGTGATATAGCTAGCTGCCGCCGCGCCGCGTACCTGCGAAGTGGTGTGTTACGCCGAAGGGCGGTTATACCGGCTATACCGATACAGATACAGATAAAAGGGGGTAGGATCAGGCACGGTTCTAGATACGCAAAATACAGTTACTCAAGCAACTAGATGTGATTTTGGAAAATTATATCCAGTTGCTTGAGTAACTGCTTTTTGGCGTATCGTATTACCTGGATGTGTAACAGTCTCCGACATACATACGGTTCTGGATAGTCACCAAGAAGATACATGTAGATCTTCCCCAGATATGGTCTAGATACACGTGGTTTGACAGCCCCTGCCTGCTTGAACTGAAAAAAGTTATTGAGAATTTTACACTCAACAAATGATACTGTAATAAAAAAAGGAAGGCAAAGAAAAGAAATAAATTTTACCGGTGTAGATGAATGTTTGGTGTGGTTTTTTCTTTGTGATCTCTTACATTTGGTGTTCCACTTTTTACTTTGTAGGAATTCTTATATGGAAAAAAATGAGATAAGGACATGTCATCTCATTTTTTCCATATAGAGTTTGTAGGAATTCTTTTATGTTGTATATAGAGTTTTGACATGGAATAAAAGGGCATAACTATTGGAGAAAGAAATATCACGACTTTTTTTAATTATCACGTTTTCAAGTGAAAATAAATTTACGTACTAAATAAATGAGATAAAAAGCTATGTATCTTTTTACAGGTAATAACTATCTGAATGATGGAGAAGGGGCCGGATTCTACGAAGTTTGGGTCATCCACCTCACGAACACCGGCGGCAGCACTGACCCCGTCACTGGCTAAGGTGCTTGTTTTTGCAATATTAATATGACAAATATTTATCTCCTGCCTTAGAAAATAGCCATCCGTCCTCAGGATCTACTACATAGATATCTGACTTTATAATCCAGACAGTGCCATACACGTCAGTAGATGCTACAAACCGAAATTCAAACGGTGATTTGTATTGACAAAAGTTAGCTTGAATTTCTTTTCAGTCAGCAAAGTTTGGGTGTATGTTTCCAGGCATCCTAGTTTTCCAAATAGCAGATGTGTGTTTGAACTCTGATTTTCCTTTTTCCCTTCAGGGACTAGAGCAGATCCATCAGTGGCGACATCAATGGAACATAAAGACTAAAATAAATTCTTACAGTCAATACAAAAATAAATTATACAAATGACTTCACTCCTCTGCTGTTCTCGTTGTATTTGTCTCATAAAGTTTCGTTGGCGTTAGTAAAATATAATTAAAGTAAAAAAAAATATGAAAATGTTGAGTAAAAAAATGTGTTGTCGAGATCTCCATACTCAAAAACATCAGGGTAACTGACATCTGCATAAAAAGAATTATGGCCAGGGGAGTTGGTCGGCCATAGAGGGTCCAGTTTGCCTGCATAGCGTCTGTAACTGAACCTCTATTGTTGGCTAACTACCCTCGCCTTGCTATTCTAGGCTAACCAGCTGCATTCTTTTGAGGCCGATTTCTACTATTCATTCAGCCTGCAAAGGAGTCTGGTGGAGACTATTAGAATTTTACGACACACAAAAACACCCATTAGGTGCTTTACGTACAACATGACCTTGGTGGTGTTAAAGACGTCAGTAGAGGCGAAAAATAGAATTTTAAACGGACGTTAGTATTGACTTACCTGAGGAGATAATGACTGAAGCCTGTTGTACTTCCCACAAGAGCTATATATTAGGACGGAGAGTGTCTGGCTCCGACACTGTCTCGAGCTCAACGTCTTGTAGTGGCCTGACAGGAATCACCTGGTAAGTCTACTTTTACTTTAATCTGTTGAAGACTCTTTTAACTCTCTGTCTTTGTTCTTGTTGCCTATGATGGAGCCCCCAGGACGTAAGGTTTTGGGACCTAAATAGTATTCCCTCTGTCTCTTGTCTTTTCTTTTACAATATGCTGACAGCATAAAGGATCATTCAGGTTGTGATACGGCTATTGTACGGCTCATGTGACAGGAGCCTTTGCTAAAGGCATTTTGTTGGGGCTTACAGCAAGAATTCCTATTCTTTTCTTACTTCGCTACACTGTCGTGAAATACAACCTTTCGTTTGTTCCGAACCGTTTTTTCTCTTTATTGTTTAGGCTCAGGATGAATGCTACGTCTACCAGGCTGATACTTGAGTTTTACTCTAAGAATGACCCATGACGGTCACTTGTTTTTCAGAACCATGACTCCCTTCCTTCTGCTGTTCGTTGCCTTGGCAACAGCGTCTCCCATGAAGAGGTGCGTGCTGAACATTCATCTTAAGGCTAAGTTTAACATCTCACAAATGTAGTAGCCTTCATTTGTTCCAGTAAGCCTTGCATCTTACTAAAGATTCGTAGCCTTTAGATAGCTTACTAAAGATCCCTAGCCTCAGGTATCTCTCGGAGTTGGTGTTCTTCGGATTCTGGTTGAGCAGGGCCTAGTCCTCTGTGCTTGAGGTCCGCTGTAAAACGAATTTATCTGGTTGAAGCGTCTTCTATAAAAATGGTGGACATCAATAATCTCCAAGCAGATCTTTCGGCGGCCGCAAAACACAGTATCAAATTGGCCAGGCAGTATCCATCGGCCACCGGGTGGCTAGCTAATGGCCAATGGATACTGCCTTCCTACCGTATGGTCTTCTTGGAGATGAAACATCAACACTATACGGAAGGAGTCATAATCATTTTGACGTTTTTTACCTACAGGCAGGCGACTAGCGGCCTGGATACCGACGGAGACGGACTGATCTCCAAAGATGAAGTTACCGCCGCCATGACTCTTCACCAGGCTCTTGTCGCCCTGGACAGGGATGGTAAGCAAAATGTCAATTTCTCTGTTGCTGCCTACATTTACGTCAACATAGAGGGTTTGTTACATCGTTAGAGAAACCTTGAAGGCCTACTATTAAGTGACTGTAATTTTCATACAAAAACCAGGAAGGTCCCTGCTGATAGCATTGTCCAAAATTAATGTTTAAATTGTACAAAAATGCTTTTGCGAACGTTATAACACTAGGAACTGTAGCTGGATCTTTCTGACGAAGTTCGGTTATGGGCCTCCTTGCGACTTTCTTCGGTACTGTAGAGGATCGTCCGACACTTCCATGTTTTCTATCCACGTTTAGGCGATGGCTTCATCTATCTGGCGCAGATCATTGAACTTTGGGGAATCGGAGACAAGTTTTACGAACTGAACACCGACGGAGACGACCACCTCACCTTCGACGAGATTGAAAACGGAATGACTCTCAGCGACTTCTACGACCAGTTCGACTTCAACGGTATGAATTTTAACTTTTTTCCCGTTTATCTACATCTTGTCTAGGCTTTAATACATGTAAATACAATAAAATACGCATAATACGAGGCTGATGTATGTCTTCAATTTGCTGTCCGCTGGTTACGCTTGTAAAATTGGAATCTTCTATCATAGTTTAGGATACTAAGTACACCTTTCTATTCTTCCGTGTCAAAGCAGTCATAGATAGCCACAATTTGGTTAAGTTGCTAGTATTATCTTGAAGGTCCATCAGACAAGTACTAATCTCCAAGCAGATCCCTTTCGGTGGCAAGACAGTATCCATTAGCCAGAGGGGTTTGTACGGCCACCTTCTCTGGCTAATGGCTACTGTCTTGCCACCGAAAGGGATCTGCTTGGAGATTAACAAGTACGACATTTTTACGCCAAAACGCAGTTACTCAAGCAACTGGATATGATTTTGGAAACGGTCAGACGTATAGTTTGTGCTTATCAACCTGCATTTCTTCCCTGGTGTCTCTCAGTCACTGAGAAAGCTAGTGGATACTAGCTGAAACGTCTGACCTTTTCCAAAATCATATCCAATTGCTTGAGTAACTGTTTTCTGGCGTATGGTATTACCTGGATGTCTAACCTTCACCGACGTACGACATTTTTACGTTGTGACTATTCCGTGCCAACAGGTGACGGGACTCTGGACGTGGCAGAAGCTTACCAGGTGAACTACATCTACGACGTTATCCAGAACCCTGCCATTAACAACCCTCTGGACTCCAACGGAGACGGCCAACTCTCCAGGCTGGAAATCACCAGCCACATCACCTACGACGAGGTGCTGGCCGCCCTGGACGCCGACGGTACGGCATACTCATTAACTTTATCTATACTTAGCCTCCGTAGCAGGCTTATAGAGCTGGGGGTTTGGTGGTCTTCGGCTGTTTTCTGATTAGCCCAGTTCTAAAAACGGAGTAATTCAACCAGGCCGGCTATGTTGTCTATATGCAATCAGAAAATAGCATATAAAAGATGGGCATGGTGGCCTTGAAAATGTGCACTTAGGTGCACCTGTTCCACCATGCCCCCCGTGTATATTATGTATGTGGCCAATCGTAATAAATAAATAAAATAAATAGATCCCAAAGACCCTGAAGACCCCCAAACCCCCCAGTTTTTTGTATACTATGGAGGCTAATCTTTACTTACTTTACTTTAACTGTCCACTTCTACTGTCTGGGGTCTCGTGGGGAGGGACAGTTGGCGTCCGACGGCTAGTCTGGAGGCTGTTGTTATATATATGTGTGTGACAATAAAGACCACATGGAAAGTTTCCATGTGGCAATAAAGACCACATGGAAACTTACCGTACGCAAAACAGTTCAGAATGATGGGAAGAAACTGAGAGTTGGCAAAACGGAATCTATGGCTGCTGAGGCACAAAACAGAAACCTATGGAGGAGTACTGTTAAGTCTGCAAGTCGACCGATGCAACTAGTTACAGGAGGAGCTAAGGTCTCTTTCTTCTTCTTCACTCAGCCTCTTCTGAGGTGCAGCGTGTGAAGTTTTGTCTCCAGTGCAGTCTGTCTTTCATTGCGGACAAAAGTTCCAATCCTTGTAGACCAGTTTCAGACTGAATGAGACCCTTAAGTGTTGTGATTGGACGACCAATCCTCCTTTTTGCCTTTGGAGTCCAGACTATAGTAGTCGTCCCGCTGGTTCTCTACCACGAGTAAGGTCTAGTTCTAGTTCTATACAATACTAAGCAATACCCCTCGCGGGGTCTAGTGCTTAGGGAAGTGGTCGTTCCCCAGCGTGACCGGTGATGGTGGTGAGTAAAAAAAACAAGTGCAATAACTACATACAGAAGTCATGGCTGGGGATTGGCCACATTCCTACAGCTGGGTACAGCTAGGGAAGCCATAATGACTGGCTACCCCAGCTTCAAAATGCTCAATTGACTTATTAGCCATTACCAGATGGTCAGGTAAGTCTAAGATAACTTTAACGTAATAAAGACGCGTTTCGTTCCTGCAGGTGACCAACAGCTGAGTGAAACTGAGGCGAACGTGCTGTTTGGTTCCGTGACCGCCCAGTGGATGGACGATCAGGACAACAACGACGACGGTTTCGTCGACTTCGACGAGGCGCACAGCCACCGCATGAACCTGCGCAGGATCTTCCAAAGACTCGACTTGGACGGTAGGCATCAGAATAACAACCTCACCTCGTGGGGTCGTGTGGCGTAGCGGCAGAGTGCGCGACTCGGAACTAAGAGTCCCGGGTTCGAGTCCTGCCGTGCCACCGATCTTGTGCCCTTGGGAAAGGCACTTTACACGACTTTCCTCACTTAGCTCAGGTGTAAATGAGTATTGTCCTATCATGTATTTGTCCAATGTGTTGGTGGCGGCATTAATATAAGTTGAAAAAACTTGAGTGTGTCGTCACCACGTCTGGTGATTACATGTTGGAATAAAAAAAACCAACTGCAAAATAATGTTAGCCGCACAAAATTATATATTAGAAAAAAAAAAGATTCTAACTGTATGTGTCTTCTGGGATGGGAGGTTTGTTATTCACGCGAGGTCTCATGTATTTTTAAATGTCTTGTAAAATATTTTCTTTCATTGTAAAAGTGGCTGCGAGAATATAAGTTGTACCTAACTTGAGTTCGCAGTCACTTAGTCCATGTCTTTTCATTTGTAATTCTCATTGTGTTTCTGAATAAATAAAAAAAAATCTTCGGTAGCAGTTCATCTCGAAAGCATTTAGACTAACAACGCGGGTTCCAAAACGTATACTTTAGCCAATAAGGAGAACAATTGACTAGAGGAGTTCAGCCGGCGTAGAGTTCATTTGCCCGCACAGAGGGGAGGGAATCAACCCTCTCGCGGACTGACTCTCCTGGCCAACCATTTTCCTTTTTTTACCGAATCCTACGATCCGTACAACCGTAGGAAGGCCTGGTGGAGGCTAGGCAATAACCGTGCGTATCTACCTCAACGGACATGTGTTTGTCTTTTTCATCTCTTACATTTGGTGTTCAACTGTTTACAGATAACAACTACTTGGATGATGGGGAAGGTGCCGGATTCTACGCAGTTTGGACCACCCACCTCGTGAACACCGGTGGCGGCGGTGGCACTGACCCCATCACTGGCTAAGGTGTATGTTTTTGCAATCTTCGGATATTGAAGTGATATAGATACTTGACATTATGCCCTCGTAAGACGTCAGTAGATGCTATAAATCGAATTTAAGACGGACATTTGTATTGACAAAACTGGGGAGATCTTGTTTGAAGGATGTTGCACTTCCCACATACAACTATGATTTCTCAACGGATCCTACGGATGTAAGAATGCAACTGTCGACTAAATACCAGCACTTTGACAATGATTCGGCAGACGTAGATTGGATTTTACTATTAAAGTTAGCTTCAATTTCTTTTCAGTTATCAAAGTTTGAGTGTATGTTTTCAGCCATACTCGTATTCCAAATTGCAGATGTGTGTTTGAACTCTGATGTTGCTTCTCTCTACAGGGCCTATCGCAGATGCACCAGTAGCGGCAGCTATGGAAAATAAAGACTAAAATGACATATTACACAATTACAGTCAACACAAACCAAATAAAATTGTTAAATGACTTCACTCCTCTGCTGTTCTCATTGCCTTTGTTACATTCACAAGTAAAATAAAATAAAATAAAATAAAATAAAATAAAATAAAATAAAATAAAATAAAATAAAATAAAATAAAATAAAATAAAATAAAATAAAATAAAATAAAATAAAATAAAATAAAATAAAATAAAATAAAATAAAATAAAATAATAAAAAAAAGGTGTTGTCAAGACCTGCATATTAAAAAACGTCAGCATATTTTACGTCATCTGCATTATCTTGAGGAGTACTGCAACTTACATAGGCATCTCTGTTTAAATTTAGTCACCACCAGACTCCTTTGCAGGCTGAATATTAAGTAGTAGAAATCAGCCTAAGAAGAATGTATCTGGCCATGGGAATTGGTCGGCCATAGAGGTCAATTTTGCCTGCATAGAGTCTGTGACTGAACCTCTGTGGCTGACCAACTCCCCCGCCAGCTTCAGTCTTTTTAGACCGATTCCTACTATTTGTCCAGCCTGCAAAGGTGTCTGGTGGAGACTGTTGGAACTGTATGTAGCTAACAAACAAACAAACAAACAAACAAACAAACATCCATTAGGTGCCCTACGTGCAACATGCCCTGTGCACGATCTGGCCCTGGCAGTATGACCCCGGTGGTGCTATAGACGTCAGTAGATGCGATAAATGGAATTTTAAACGGACGTTAGTATTGACTTACCTGAGGAGGTAATGTTTGAATAATCTTGTACTTCCCACAAGAGTTATATATTAGGACGATGTGTCTTTGGCTCCGACACTGTTTCAGACTCAACGTCTTGTAGTGGCCTGACAGGAACCGCCTGGTAAGTCTACCTTTTCTCTGGTCTACTTTACCCTCCTTTAAATATCTCTTTTTATTCCTCTTGGCTATGATAGAACCCGCTGGACGTAAGGTTTTGGACATAAATAATATTCCCTTTGTCTCTATTCTTTTACAACATACTGGAGTACAGCAAAAATGCTCAATCAGGCTGTGATCGTACGGTTATTGTACGCCTCATGTGACAGGCGCCACCCCTACAGGCATTTCTTTGGGGCTCACACCAAGCTTAAGAATTCCTTCTTCTTCCCTTAGTTATTTCACTACATCTTCATGAAGTACATCCTTTCGTTTGATTCGAACCACTTTTCTATCTTTTGCTTAGGCTCTGGATGAATGCTATAGCTACGTTTACCAGTGATACTTGAGTTTGTTATGTTATGTGTACCAGTGGTACTTATGTTTGAGTTTTACTCTAAGAATGACACATGACGGTCACTTTTTCAGAACCATGACTCCCTTTCTTCTGCTATTCGTTGCCTTGGCAACAGCCTCTCCCATGAAGAGGTACGTACTAAAACCCATCTCAATGCTAAGTTAGACATAGGGATTTTCAATGTAGTAGCCTGACATGCAGGAGGTTGTAACTGGTTAGTTCCATTTTTTTACATGCTGGATGGGTAAATTCAGTCTTACTTAATTTGCTCCAGCAAGCCCTGTATATCTTACAAAAGATCCCCAGCCTTTACTTAGCACTCAGAGTTGTCTTTCGTCTGGTTAACTTAAGAAAGGCCTAGTCCTCTTTGCTTGAGGTCCGCTGTAAATGTATTCATCTGGTTTTGAAGTGTCTTCTAGGAAAATGCGGACATCAAAAATCTCCAAGCAGATCTTTCGGTGGCCACAAAAAACAGTATCGAATTGGCCAGGCAGTATCCATTATCCAGACAGTATCCATTTGCCACACGGTGGCTAGTGGACAATGGATCTGCCTTGCCACAGCATGATCTGCTTGGAGATTAGACATCAACACTATACGGAAGGCATCACAGGTTTTTTGGACGTTTTTGCCTACAGACAGACGACCAGCGGCCTGGATGCCAACGGTGACGGTCTGATCTCCAAGGATGAAGTTACCAATGCCATGTCCCTGCACGAGGCTCTTACGGCTCTCGACAGAGATGGTAAGAAAGTTTCTCTGTTGCTGCCTATGGCCACAACGACTTAATTCTATGGATGACATCCTCTGAAGACTCCACAAACTAGTGCGCGCGGGCGAATAAAAAAAATCTGGCCAAAAATAAAAATGCTACTAAACCACAAGAATACAAAGCTGGTATTGTGAATTTGCGGCAGTACTTAGCGACGTATATGACAAGCCGGCACATGCTGGCTTTTTGTGGAATTTATGAATCGGCACTGTACGTATGTACTGAGTTCTTGAGTCGTGGAGCTTTGATAGCCAGGGTGCCATCCTCGAGAGTTACCACCAGCTCCGATATTGTCGCTAACTACCATGGACTACCCAGTCCTGGAGCCAGGCGAGAGCCTTTCTTTTTTTCGAGAAAAGACGAAAATGAATGCGCGCGCGGATATCATCCATAAACTTAAGTCGGTGTGGCCTATCTACGTCAACACAAAGAGTTTGTTGTAAGGTTTGAATTGTCGAAGTGCTGTCACATCCACCATCATAGTTAGATAACCTCGAAGGCCTGTTAAGTGACTGTAATTTTCATACAAAGTTTAACTCAAAAGGACCATCTTTGTACGGACCCTGATAACTTTCCGACGGATGCATCGTCCGAACTTAACGGTGCACACCCCAGTTCTTGCGCGACCGGGGTCCGTGATAGTCCGTTGTAAAAAAGTGACGGAAGGGTTTTGAGGGTCCAAGTTTGAGGTGACATTTCTCATAAACTGCCACGAAGTATCATTAAACATTAACATGGCTGAAGAGTGTAAGAAATGGTGATTTTGGGGTGAAAATTTCTTTTGGCTCCGAACCTTACTTCCGGGTATCCTTGCGCGCCAAGTGTAATCCGCCCGTTTGACCTAGATTTCGCTCTGCGGCTTCGTAGGGGTGGATTTGCAACCCCTCGCGCCGTGGACTGTTTAGAAAATTACAGTACTAGAATTTTCTTTATAATCTACTCGGGTATAGTCAAGGCTTGGGTCTTTCTGCCAGCATCAGTCATTTCTGCCGGAAAATTTTTTTCTATGGGATTATCCTACGCGAAAATTCGCAATTTGGGGCATTAATTTTGGAGTGAAAATAATGTTTTTTCCGTTGATTTTACCAAACTTAAAAAGGTTGAAGAAACCAAACTCAGCTGGTCTTGTAGCTGAAGAGATATCCTTTCGTCCCATATACAGTTATTTTCCTTCCGAATTATTCCACGCCAGAGACGGTCGCTAGATTTGAGGGTATGCAGCTTCGAATAGAGACGCCAAACTAGAGTTCCCCGATCTCATACCTTCGCCAAATGATGTTAATCTTTATGACTGACGAATTATAGATTAGATTATTCCCCCCTGATTTAAGAAATAGGAACCTGATTTTCATGAATTATATCATTTATCATAATCTCAACCAAAAAAACAGTCTTATATTAACAAACAATGCATTCTAGCATTTCCTAATAAATTATGCAAATGAGGTTCTGATTTGAATAAATTATGTTTAATGATGTTCACCTCAATTTAACTTTCAAATACCACAAGTATGAAATTCCAGGCAGTTATCATTACATAATTATAAAATTTTCTCATTAATTATGCAAATTAGGTCATTATTAACATAATCAATATCTTCCTGTGTTTCTCTCGTTGTCAATTACCAATGTCACAAGCTTTAATTGTCCTTAATGGAATGCAGCTGATTTATAGAATTTCCCCATAAATTATGCAAATTATATCCATATTTGCATAATTGTCACATAATTATATGAAGGATCACGTAAGCTACCTACATACCAAAAATCACGACGATCCGTCAACCGGTTCTTGAGTTATCCCCTTTTGAATATTTTCAAGAATATATCGCTGCAGTTCCAGAGCAAGCCGCTAGGGGGCCTAAACTCACATCACTTCTTCCCCAGCACAAGAGCTACCTACCATCTAACTTTCATCCCCAAAGCATGTCTAGATCATGAGATATCAAAACCGGAAGTTCAGCTGCAGTACCATAACAAGCCGCTAGGGGGTCCAAAATTTAATCATTTTGAGGTCTCATCAAGACCTACCCACCTACCAAGTATCAAGACAATCCATCAAGGCCTTCTCAAGTTATCGTGTTGACAGACACACACACACACACACACACACACACACACACGAACGCCCCTGAAAACATAACCTTCTTGGCGAAGGTAATAAACTGGGGTGTGCCCCCTTAATGTTTAAATTGTACAAAAATGCTTTTGTGAACGTTACAACACTAGGAACTGTAGCTGGATCTTTCTGACGAAGTTCGGTTATGGGCCTGCCAGTGAATTTCTTCGGTACTGTAGCGGAACGTCCAACACTTACATGTTTTCTATCCACTGCGAACAGGCGACGGCTTCATCTACCTTCCTCAGATCATCGAGCTGTGGGGAACCGGAGACAAGTTTTACGAACTGAACACCGACGGAGACGACCACCTCACCTTCAGGGAGATCGAGAACGGAATGACTCTCAGTGACTTCTACGACCAGTTCGATTTCAACGGTACTTTAGTCTGTATATAGCACAAATATCCACGGGAGCCAGACTTGTTCAATGTCTCAATGCAAATAAACACGTACAAATACATACCATCTATGGTTAGATATCCAGGTAAAGAGATACACAAGGAAATTCTTACTCAAGCAACGGGATCGATTTTGAAAACTGTCAGACGCATACGTTTCAAGTAGCATCCACTACGTACTTCACCGCTTACTATCCAGTTGCTTGAGTAAAGATTTCCTTGTGTATATCTGTGTTGACAGGTGACGGAACTCTGGACGCAGCAGAGGCTTATCAGCTGCACTTTATCTACGATGTCCTGAACGACCCTTCCATCGACAACCCTCTGGACTCTAACGGAGACGGCAGGCTCTCCAGGCTGGAAGTGGTCAGCCACATGACTTATGACGAGGTTCTGGCCGCCCTGGACGCTGACGGTAAGGCAGATTTTCTGTTTTCTTTTTTTTTATATTCCAACATGTTAATGCCGCCACCAACACATGGGACAATACAATACAATACAATACAATACAATACTCATTTTCACCTGAGCGAAGTGAGGAAAGTCGTGTAAAGTGCCTTTCCCAAGGGCACAAGATCAGTGGCATGTCAGGACTCGAACCCGGGACCTCTTGGTTCCGAGTCGAGCACTCTGTCGCTACGCCACACGACCCCAGATTTTCTGTTGTCGTTGTCGAGTGTTTGACTCGCATTTAAGAGGTGGGCAGTTTAACACACGCTACTGAAAGTGCACTACTCTATCTATGGGTGTGGGAAGCATGTTAAGGACGTAACATGACCTGCCCTTATTTCAGGTTGACTAAATTATGCTGCTACCACTGATCAAACCTCCGTTGAGCGGCTTCCATAAAGCCCTGGACATATAAGGCTGCGTTTCTCAAAGACGGGCCTTTGTCTGTTCTCCAACTCCAACGTTTTCAATAACCGATATTTCTAGAGACCGACCTTTCTTTGCAAGTTGTTAGCAGACAGTGAAGACACATTTTGTTGAAAGTTAAAACTTTTGGTCCAACACAAGAAAAATTCTCTCACCTAGAGCTTTCGACCAGTCACTCTGGTCTTCCTCAGTAGACTGACCCAGTGAAGTCTACTGAGGAAGACCAGAGTGACTGGTTGAAAGCTCTAGGTGAGAGAACTTTTCTTGTGTTGGACCAAACGTTTTAACTTTAAACATGTAACTACCAACACAGATGAACTTTCATGATAAGACCCATTTTGCTTCTTCAGGTGACCAAGCGCTGAGTTCGACTGAGGCGAACGTGCTGTTTGGTTCCGCGACCGCTCAGTGGATGGACGACCAAGACAACAACGACGACGGGTCTGTCAGCTTCCAGGAGGCTCACACCCACTTCATGAGTCTGTGGAGGATCTTTGACAGACTCGACCTGAACGGTACGTATCGACTCCTGAAGCCTGGTGCTAGTCTGCATGCTTAAATGGGTTCGGATTAGTATCAGAAGGTATTGGTCCTTCTGAATAGTCTCTATCGTTTACTGGACTTTGCCTATCTAGCTCTTTGCCTGAATTGGCTAGGCTTAGGATCAGGTAAGGTTCTGGATAGTCTCTATCGTGTCCAGAACGGTGTCTATCTAGGTCTATGGTCTAGGTCTCTGTCTGAATGGGTTAGGGTTAGTATCAGGCATAGTTATAGATAGTCTCTATCGTGTACTGGACTTTGTCTATCTAGCTATGTGCCTGAATAGGCGTAGGTTCAGGCACGGCTCTGGATAGTCTTTATCGTACCCAGAATCTACCTCGTTCTGAATGGGTTAGGGTTAGGATCATGCACGGGTTCGGATAGTCTTCGCGTATCCAAGAACATAGATTTGCCCCAGGGACGTCGACGGTTCTGGATACGCGTGGACTACCCATGATTCCGGATCCAGCACGGACAGTACGTTTACTTGCTGTTCTTATACATGTAAGACGTCACACAGACACCAACATGCATGCAGATGCACAAAGAAAGGAAAATAAAATTAAGTGAATGCGTGTATTGTCTATTTGGTCTTGAATTGGTTACAGACAACAACTACCTGGATAATGGAGAGGGGGCCGGGTTCTACGAGGTTTGGCGTATTCACCTGGTCAACACCGGAGGACGTCATCATGATGGTCCTCATTCTCCTTCAGGATAAGGTTTGCACAACCTCCATACTTCCTTTAGATATGTACGAGTGTAATAGCCTCTACCCGGGTGCGGCTAACTATACTCTCTACCTACCTACCTACCACTCCACCGCATATCAGCTACTGCTGAGGCGGGCCATCATTGTTCTCCATCTGCCTCTATCTTGCGCGGCTCGTTGCGCCCCCTCCAACTCGCAACCCATCACTGCAAGATCTCTTTCCACTGTTTTTCTCCACGTCATACTATACTCTCTAGCTAGCTAGCCAACACCCCTGGTATGTTATCTCTCTATTGGGCCAATTTGTACTAAGAGGTAAGGTGTCTGATTTTGCAACCTCGGTACTTTCTTTAGTAGCACGAGTGTCAGCCTTGTTAGCCTTCGTCCGCTCACCAACATCCGCTACCGGCCAACGGATCTTGGGGAGCGGACGGAAAGGTTGACATTCAGGCTATTTTTCTACAGCTGTCCCAACTTCTTTGGTGTAAAGAAAATGCTACTACATATGGAAGTATATGTGCTCTTACTGTCAAACAAGTAATCCTGCTTATGGTAACAACAAAGGCGGTTTTTATACTAGCGTGCTTCTTTGGTTCGTTTTTACAACGTGTCGATTTGGGTTCTATGCAACATTCTGCTACAAACAAGCTAATGATAACTTGAATTTCTTTGTACATTGCAACATTTGTTTCTATCTTGCCTGCCGCCCCCCCCCCTGATGATTGCAGGTGTATTTATTTGTAGCCTTGAATATATTGAAATGAATGTAATTTTCTATACAGCTGCCCCCAGTGCTGATTTCAACGTCAAGGCAAATGTGAAGATTGAAATGAATGTCTGTTTTCCTACAGCTGTTTCCCTATGTGCTGACTCCGGCGTCATCAAAGGAAAAGTGAACACTGAAATAAAATCTTAAAGTCGACCCAAACCAAATAAAATAAAATTCGTCAATGACTCTACCTCTCGGTTTTCTTTTTTTCAGTTTAGTTTCATAAACTTGAGTTTTTAAAACAGTAAACAGTCTGGATGAGACTTTTTAAGTTCTGTGAAGCTAATGAACAAACATCCATTAGGTAGTCGTACGTGCAACACGAGTGGCGTAGTGGTAGAGCGTTCGACTATGAAACGGGGAGACCCGGGTTAGATCCCGAGTTGTACCCGGGACATGTCTTGACATGTACCCCGACGTTGTGCCCTTGGGAAAGGCACTTTACACGATTTTCGCCGAATGGCAGCCGCACAGACCCTTGCGCCAGTTCCCCCCAAAAATTGTGGAGCAAATATAATGTACGTGTATCATGTGTATTATTTGAATATTTATGACTACTTTTTTTATTATTATGTGCTACCCTGCATCAATTCAACCGTATAAAGGCTGCTACATCAAGGGTACTGTTTATTTATTGTTATTTATTTATTTATTACGATTGACCACATACATAATATACATGGAGGGAATGGTGGAACAGGTGCACCTAAGTGCACCTTTTCAAGGCCACCATGCCGTTTGACCAATAAAACCGACCAATAAAAATAACAGGCCCCGGGCACTGGCCGGGCATGTCAATATGACCCCCACTGTGTCACGAACGTCCTTAGTCGAGCCGAAAAATAGACATCCAAACGGACGTTTGTGTTGACATAGCTGATGGTGTGATGTGTTACTACTCGGTGGTGTGATGTTTAATTACTCGGTGGTGTGATGAATACGTGATGGGATGATGTCTGAAGACTGTTGTCTTCCCACGAGATATATATATAAGGATGGAGTATCTCCAGCTCCGACAGTCTCAGAGTCGACGTCTTGTGTTGTCCTGACAGGAATCACCTGGTGAGGCTACTTTTTTTTCTCCAATCTACTGTTACTGTAGGTACTTTTAATTATCTCTTTTTGTTGTTGTTGCCTATGATGGGACCCCCAGGACGTAAGGTCTGGTATATAAATAATGTTCCCTATCTCTATTCTTTTACAACATGCAAACAGCAAAAACGCTCATTTGTAGTTTGTACTCGTACGAGTATTGTAGGGCTCATGTCACATGCACCTTCCCTGAAGGCGTTTTGTTGGTGCTTACAGCAAGAAGTCCTTCTCTTACGTGAAATGTAGCCTTTCGTTTGATCCGAACCGTTTTTCTGTATTGTTTATACTCTGGGTGAATGTTATGTGTACCAGTGGTACTTATATTTGAGTTTTACATTAATAATGACACATGACGGTCACTTTTTCAGAACCATGACTCCCTTCCTTCTGCTGTTCGTTGCCTTGGCAACAGCCTCTCCTATGAAGAGGTACGTGCAGAATATTCATCTTAATGCTAAGTTTAACATGGGGATTTTCATCTGAAGAATATTAGGCGAAAACTGGTTGGTTCCATTTTCTACGTGATGAATGGGTACATTCAGTCTTCCTGCATTTGTCCCTGTACTTCTTACTTACTTACTTACTTAGTGCGAGCTCCCGCTCGAACCAATCCAGAAAGTCTCCTCTGTAACACTGGTCGTCCATGGCCCTTCGCAATTCATTGGTATCATGCGGGTCAGTGTCACATGGCAAGTTGTCTAAGTAGGTGACTCTGGGTCTCCCCCTACCTCTCTTTCTCTTAGCAGTAGTATCCCAAAGAACCAGATGGGCTGCAGGAATTTCAAGAGTGACCAACCAGCGAAATGCAGTGACCAGCCAGTTTCATTCTGCGCCGTTGTATTTTCTCGGTGACAGTTGGTAATCTTGGTACAACTGCCTTGAATCTTTCTAAAGATCCCCAGCCTTTAGTTAGCTCTCGGATAGGTTTTTCCTCTGGCTTATATTATAAGCAGAACATAGTCCTCTGTGCTTGAGGTCCACTGTAAATGTACCCATTTTGTTGAAGCGTCTTCTAGGAAAGTGTCAACACTATAACACTAAGGCGTCACAGGTCATTTAGACGTGTTTGCATACATACATACAGGCAGACAACCGGCCTGGACGCCAACGGCGACGGTCTGGTTTCCAAGGATGAAGTTCTCAACACCATGTCTCTGCACGAGGCTCTTGTGGCCCTGGATAGAGATGGTAAGCAAATAGACAGTTTCTCTGTTGCCTACGTCCACATACAGTTTTTTTTTTTGTAAGATTTGTCAAAGTGCCGTTACCTCGAGGGTCTGTTAAGTTAACTCAGGAAGAACCATTTTTGTACGGACCATGACAGCTTTTCGACGGATGCAACGTCCAACATTGATTTGTAAATTGTACAAAACTGCTTTTGTGAACGTTATAACACTAGGAACTGTAGTTGGATCTTTCTGACGAAATTCGGTTATGGAGTTCCTTGCGACTTTCTTCAGTACTGTAGCGGAACGTAACAATGCTTCTATGTTTTCTATCTACTGCGTGCAGGCGATGGGTTCATCTATCTGGCGCAGATCATCGAGCTGTGGGGAACCGGAGACAAGTTCTACGAACTGAACACCGACGGAGACGACCACCTCACCTTCAGGGAGATCGAAAACGGGATGACTCTCAGTGACTTCTACGACCAGTTCGACTTCAACGGTAATCTGGCTCTTAAAACTGGAATTTTCTATGGCAATCGTAGTTTGCTGCACTAAATGTTTAGTTTATATATAATGCAGTAATATGCCAAGGTTAACTATGCTATGACTTTTGATATAAGTGCCAAAAGAAACCTACATATTCTACATAAGATTAAGAGTTGTGGTCACACATTCATGAAAAGGAGATACGCAAGGAGAGAGTTACTCAAGTAACTGGCTAGATTTTGAAAACTGTCAGACGTTTCAAGTAGCATCCACTACTTCTCGTGAGTGACTAACGAAAATGTATCCCGTTGTTTGAGTAACAATTTCCTTGTGTATGTGTGTGTCTATATCAACAGGCGATGGGACGCCACAGAAGTTTGTCAGCTGCACTACATATACGACGTCCTTAATGTTTAGGGTGCACTTCTATTCTTTCAAGTCAAAGCAAGCAGTCATAACTAGCCACGGTTGTCTTACGGGGTATTATTTTCTATAGAAAATCTATCACACAAGTACGGCATTTTTACCTTGTAACAGGTGACGGGACTCTGGACGCAGCAGAAGCTTACCAGCTGAATTACATCTACGACGTTCTCAACAACGACAACGTTGTCATCGACGATCCTCTGGACTCTAACGGAGACGGGAGACTCTCCAGGCTGGAGGTTGTCAGCCACATGACGTACGACGAGGTTCTGGCCGCTCTGGATGCCAACGGTCAGAAAAATTCTTCTTCTTCTTCTTCATTGTTATGCCCACGTTCATCTTTTGTTGAACATTATGGCATTCCGAGGTCAGAGGTTCACCGCATACTCAGCTGCAGGTCACAGAAGTTCACCGCATGTGTGTTAACCGTTGCCCAAAATCATGTACGTGTACTATAAGCGCGAAGTCGTCACCGGGAGGGGCAGTCCATTGTGTGTAAGACAAATTCAAATTGCAGCCCTCACCACAAAGGTGTCAACCGTGGCAGCCTGGACCGCAGATTCAGGAAGATCGTTCCATTCTCTGACCGTTCTGGGCATGGAACGATCTTCTACAGCACGAAATCGGCCATTGAAACACTCTTAAAGCTCGCTAAAATGTTCCGTTTTGGCATGCTTTAATTTGCTTTACATACTCGTCCTTTACTGTGTTTTCTATGGTCTAAACCTCAAGTAGATGTTTTTCCAGCTTATTTCTAAAATGTTTATCCTATACCTCACTGGGAGCCCAACACAGTGCTCAGAGGTCAACAACACATAAATCCCAGGGCATTAGGGTGTATGTACATTATACAGAATGATCTCTAATTTATAAGATAGCTGTGAAGAAAAAAATTCTTCTTCCGAAAATAATTACACCAGGTTGGTAAAAAGTTTTCTTTTACACAGCCTAATTTCCCAACTAAGTGCTTACGTTTCGATATCTGTCAGACACCTTCTTCAGAGCTTCTGACTGGAGTTCTGATTCTCGCATGGCTGAGTTTGTACCCTCCTCATCCTGGTTTCATCTCAGCCATGCTTGGGATTGCGTTCTCGCCGCAAAAGCGCCACCTACATCGGCTGCACATAGCGGCGAGAATCAGAACTCCAGTAAGAAGCTCTGAAGAAGGTGTCTGATAGACATCGAAACGTCAGCACTTAGGTGAGAAATTTTAGTTGTGCTAGGCCCTCCCACAACAGAAAAGAAACTCAATGAGCTTAGAGAGCTCGCGAGGCAGAAGGCACGGTGGAAAGAGATGAAGAAAGACTGAATGCGGCTACAGAACATTTCCACACAACTGTAGAGTCAGAACACAGTGGATGATGATGATGATGAAAAGAAAACTCTTATATCACATTATTTTGCTTCTGCAGGCGACCGACAGCTGAGTTCTACTGAGATGAACGTGTTGATGGGCTCCCAGACCGCTCAGTGGATGAACGATCAGGACAACAACAACGACGGGTCCGTCAGCTTCCAGGAGGCCCACACCCACTTCATGACTCTGTGGAGGCTCTTTGACAGGCTCGACTTGGACAGTACGTAACGTCTCCTGAACCGTGCCTATCTAGTTCTATGTCTGAGTGGGTTAGGGTTAGGATCAGGCACGGTTATGGATAGTCTCTGTGTATCCCAGAATGTAGATTTGCCCCAGGCACTGTTCTGGATACGCCTGGACAGTAGGTGTACTTGCTTTTCTCACGTGACGTCACATAGACGCCAACATGCAGGCAGATGCAAATAGTGTTCTTTACTCAACTGAGAAGAGACTGCCAGTTAATAAAATACACCTGGAATAGTGTACATTACAATGCAAAAAAATACCAACATGGTGGCCAGCCTCTGCCAGCTTGATTTAAGAAGAACCAGATTTTACACTGTACAAATGCTGTAAGAAGTAAAAAGAAAAAAGTATCGCAAAGGGAAAGAAAATTGATGTGAATTAGATGAATGTGTGTTTTGCCTTCGTTATCTTACCGTTGTTGTTCACCTGTTTACAGACAGCCGCTACCTAGAGGATGGAGAAGGGGCCGGGTTCTATGAGGTTTACCGCATCCATGTGATGAACACCGGAGGACGTTAAGGTGTCTGTTTGCACAACCTCTATACTTTCTTTAGTATATAGTAGAGAGGACATCTCGCACCGACATCTTGCACACGCAGTCGTCCCTCAGTAAGACATCTGGAGCCGCATAGTTCCCGTTTAGAACTTTTACACACAGGCAAACCCGGTCGTGTGACAGGCTGAAT